TCCGCGACACAGAGGGGCCCTCAATGTGATAGACTGAGCAGGTGACCCTGTCAATGACTATGAGGTGCAGGACCAGGCAGGGTTTTGGTAAATGTAAGATCTCTGTGAGTGTAAAATGAGTTGAAGGCAACTAGCAACAGCAAAATGTAAGACCTAATCCTATGTTTGAAATGAATAAAACAAATTTGTGTTAGATATATTATAATAATATTTTTGCATGATGTGCATATACTTATAGTCTTAGTATTAAGGTAACAGATGGACAGTGAGACGCCACTCAAGTACTCCCTCAATGCAAGAACACTTTGTTCTATTAAACTGGCATTCCACGATGCTCACCTTCCAGTCATGATTGCTGAAGACAAATGGGTGCAAAAGCAAATGTGGTGGAGTGTGCATCCTACTCACTAAGCATTCAACTCAGAGACTTTTACAGGTTCTACGGAAGTTCAATCTCACAAGAATGAAACACATGTAAATTAGGTGACTGAGAAATTCCAGGCATGGGAAAGTCATTTAGAGAAAGAAATTAGTTTTCACATGATTCTGAAATTTGCAGCTTAGAAAAGAAAACCAGAATTGGTCTCAAATCGGCAGCCTAACTTCTTACCTTCACAGACTAATAAGAGAAACGGAACCCAAAATTAGATAAAAAAATGAAATTAATGAAAAAAGAGAGGAATAAAAAGAAAACCAATAGAGAAAAATCTGTTAAGCCAAGGTTCTTTGGAATAAGGAACCATCAGCAAATGATTAGCTGCACAGACAAAATGAAACAGAAAAGAGAAACACGCAGAGCTGAAAGACTGAGATTGCTGAAATCAGAAATGAAGGGAGGATATCACTGCCGATCTGACACGAACAGAGAGAATTGAAGGGGATCCTCTGGTTTCTCCCTACATTTCAATCCGCTTTGCTCGGTTCTGCTTTGAGTCATTTGCTCCTGAGCCTAGGAATCTGGGGCTTCCTCTTTCCAAACTCGCATAGACTTGAAAATTAAATTTTACCATGTTTAAAAGGACATGAATATGGATTATTTTAATATAATAATTTTCCTTTATAATTAAAAGAAAAAGTCTATTTTAGTCAAGACACGTGCATGGCCATTAATATCTTTGTTATAACCCGCTGGACTGAGACTCTTGTTCCTTTCCTACTTGAAGTGAGGAGGATACACAAGGAAATATTGCTGATTTAACCCGAGAATATAAGAAGGAAGTCAATCTACGGCTGGAATTTGTTAATTTACTGCTTCTTTTCTGTCCTGGCATCTGGTACTACTGAATTTTACAAAAAACATCAATAAATAACTTTCACTGTGTAAAGTAATGGGAGTAGTTCAAACTCAATTATAGGAAAATTTGAAATACCAAGAGCAATTGTGATGATTTTTACAGAAAGATAAAACATATTTCATATAGCCATTGATCAATAATCCTATTCCTTCTATGTCAATTATCATTCATAGAACATTTATTTTTAAAGTTTTATCATTTCTTTTCTAACCATATCATTTACTTTTAGGATGTCAATGCCTCATTGAAATCATAGTTCTTCACAAACAAACCAAACCCTTCTCTAAACCAACTCCTCTGAACTCATTCTTGAATGTTAGTTATGTACTTATCATGGTAGCTATTCTGTGTTAGGCATTTGACATTTGACCCACTTATTTATATATTCATAATTTATTTGTACTTTGTCCTTTCATTAGATAAGCAGGTGCATTTCCCTTCAGACACATCTACAAGAGTACACCGTGTGAACTGTACAAAGGGTGTAATTGTCGGGTCATAACACCCCATATCTATCCTAGAGTGAATTCCAATTGGGTCACAGGATATGTAAACAATAAGTATTACAAGATAAGGCCAGAGTGTTTTTATCAAGGTGATCATTCCAGAGCACACTTCTATCAGCAATGTGTAAGAAATTCTCTGAATTTATATACAGTTTGCACAGAAAATCTAATTTCATGTTTTTATTTTCAGATGAAAGACCCTAGGTTAAGCAAACAGCATTCAGCAGTCAACTTAAGGGCTCATGGTTTAAAGCAACCCAGCAGTCCACAGGAAGAATGCTCTCCCAATTGCTTCCCAAAAGCTGATTGGCCAGAAACCTCCCTGGAGCACTTCTACTTCCGCCCACAGTACAGCCATCTCAACAACCATCTTCAGATGAGTTGAAACAAAGTGGATTCAATGGACGAAGTGAATCAATCCGCAGTGTATGAATTTCTTATCCTTGGACTTTGTGACTCCCAAGAGCTCCAGCTATTCTTCCTTGTGATATTTTCTTCACTTTATTTGATCACCATTGTAGGTAACATCTTCATTGTCCTCTTAATCATTACTGACCTCCATCTCCACTCTCCCATGTACTTCCTCTTGGCCAATCTCTCTTTTATTGATTTCTGTCTTTCTTCAGTC